TTCATGCAAATTTCTTAGCAAGCAAAAATATTAATAAAAAAGTCAAACTTAGTTCCATTAGCCAAGAAAGAGGTAATAGGAATACATAAAACTATGACACTAAATAATTATTGGCATAAGAGTGTTAATCTAGCTCTCCAAATGAAAAGGATTCATAATTAAATTCACACTGGGATACTCGTAACTGAAAACCCATTTAAATGGCTGAATTTTTTTTTTTTGAGGGGGGAGGGTGGATGAAAATCAGATTTCTGCCTCTCTCCTGTCTTGTCCCCTACTCTTTTGCCTACACTGAAGTGGGGAGAGACTCCAAAGTCACATTTCGGGGCAGGAGGGGGCACACTGTGCTTTGAAAGTGTACTAAATTTTCCAAATGTGAATATGGAGTGAATTATAAGAGGCTGGAAGTTTGGAATGTTTACGAGGCCCAGGTAGCGCCGGCCAAGGGCTATGGATTAGTTGCACGGATTCACCCAAGTTGTTGACATTCAAGCAGAGGGACCAGCTCTCAGATAAGGCTGAAGATCTGAGATCTACACAAACTGGATGAGCTACTCTATACCCTACCCCTATACTAGGAAATGCAGGAAATAAATGTGTAGTGGTTCTCACATACTGTGCGCGCACCCCGCCTCTTCAGCAGCTAGTAGCAGCATCCACGTTACACATGAAACCCAAATCCGAAAACTACCAAATGAAGGCTTTTCACCCCTAAAGAATTAGCAGCATGCCTGGCTTGCTTTCCCCCTCCTGGAAAACCCACTTAAACAAGCACATGCAAATCAAAAATCAAGATGTACCTCTTTGACTTCGGGCAACAGGATTTTTCACATCACTGATGCAGAGGATTCCCTTGGGTACCTGATTTTGTAAATATATTAAAATAAACAAAGGGTAATTAATAACCACGATGAGTGTTTCAAGGAGAGTTATGTTAATGGCAGCCTAACTGTCTACGTACGAGAAGGGCAGCATTAGACCCGAAGAAGAGTTATTTTCTTCCAATTGCTTTTGCATCATGGCCTCAGCCCTGCCAGGGGAGGGGTGCACATGGAAGGGAATAGCGTGGAATGCAAGGTTACTTCCTCTCGACTCTTGCTACTCCACCAGGGAGCTGAGATAGGATAAACCCCTGAGCCTGGAAGCCTGGATCAGCTCTGAAGCTGCACTAGGCTTTAAGAGAACCAAGTGATTCCGGGTTCACAGAATTTGAATCATCTCTGCTTGGTGTCTCCCAAGTGTTTGCAGACTCCCCATCCCTCAGAGAATGAAACTGGCCCAGCTTTCCCTGGCGATTTACTAGGACACTTTCTCTTCCATCTTCCCCCTCCTCGGTTGTTGGGAACTATTCTGCTGGCATTGCTGACCTTAATTGCAAATGTTCTCTTAACAAAATAGAACCATTTAGATACCACTCCTTTATTTATTAACTTCCTCTCTGTTTGAATTAGTAGCAGGGAGTGCTTAGAACGCTGATATGAAAATGAGGTTGCTTTAAAAAAAAAAAAGAAGTCTTTTAGCTTCACAGTGAATAACAAAGCACAGTAATTCAAAGTAGTTAGCTTTCTATGGTTCAAAAAACCCTTATTGCTATTAGCTGTACTAATGTAAGTGGCAAAATAATTATCATTTACTGTACAGAGTCCAATATTTTCCAGACAGCAGTTTAATAACAAAGCGGACCTGTCATTTCTCCCTATAGTTAGTCACACTATACAAGTTCAGACTGTCAAAATATATTTAAAATCTAATTTAAAACATTGAACATGGTTACAGTAAATCTGCGTACAATAACGGTGATACACTAGTAAGTGAATCTAATTTTTTTCCCAACGCGGATATTCAGTTATTTTTCCTCTAGTCCCCCACAATTTTATTTGCATTTCCTTATACTGGTGTGAATAAATTGACTATACGCATGTACCTGCTGAAACCTGTAGTCTATTGTAATTGAACATAGACTCTTTTCTTAAATTTTTATTCATTAGAACTCTCTGATCATTTCAAATGCCCATTTTCTAAACGATATGACTATTCCCCGTAAACACTCAAACAAATGTGTACCCTTGTATGTGTCAGAGCTGCCCCAGATACATCAAGCGCCTCCTTGATTCATGTGTCATCTTAGAAATGTTTTTAAAACCTGAAGGTATAAACTACTCTTCCTCGTGTATTAAAACCAAAAACCAACCCATTGTTATCAAGTCAAGTTCAACTCATAGAGACCCTATAGGACAGAGTAGATGCCTCATAGGGTTTCCAAGGCTGTAATCTTTACGGAAGCAGACTACCACATCTTTCTCCCATGAAGCAGCTGGTGGGTTCGAACCGGAGACTTTTCGGTTAGCAGCTGAGCACTTAACCACTGTGCCACCAGGGTATATTAGTATACATTAATCTCTTGCCAAACATATCATTTCTAAGCCAAAAAAGAACCAAAAAAATATACTAAAATTATAAAATATGGAAGTGTATTGGTAACATCAGTTGTTCTAGATTTGAAGTTCAGACGCTAATCTTACAGGGAAAAAAAAGATTTCCAAATAAAGTTACTTTTTTTTTTTTTTTTTTAATCTTTAGAAGCAACGGATTCTTTTACAAATGAAAGTGGATAGAGTTTAAAAGCTTAAAAGATTGTGGGGAGAATATTTTTGTTATTGCTTTGAGGTGTTGCAAACACACATTAAGCTTCTACAAGGGATATTTACATGGTCTCATATACTTGTGAGGCATTTTTCAATTTTAGAAAAATATTACAAAGCAATAATTGGCTTTGCAAAATGCCCCTTTACTTTCCTAACCGTCCATTGATAGTCTCCGTTATTTTTGGAGGAAAAGAATCGGGCCTCATTAAATGCGATATCTGGCATCTTGCCTGAAATCTCATAAAGTAGATGTTCTTTTTAGATCACTGGTGTCATTTTCCTCAAGATGACCTCTACTCTCTGGCCACCTGGAAAACCCATCCTGTGAGCAGCGCATTTACTTTCAAAAGGGGGTAGACAAGAGAGATTGTGTTTGCACACCTGAAGAGAGTCCAGAAACCATGGCGGTTTCTCTGTTCTCATCACCTTCACCCTGACTAGTCACTAAGGGAGGCTGATAGGGCAAGGGGGTCTCGCAGGGCAGTGGGAGAGGAGATTCTGGAGCTGAACCCCAATGGTGTGATCCAAGCCAGATATCTGACAGCAGAGCCTCTCATACTTGATCTGTTTACTTAACGATTAAACAGTATTTTTTAAATAGCAGAGGACTGCACACTGATATTCCAGTGAAGATTTTAAAAGGACTCCTTACAGTGCAGTGAAGTAACACGGACACTGTCCCCATGAAAACGTGTGGGAGATTGTGTGCGTGTTTCCGCACTGCCCCAGGTCACACAGAGTCTGGCAAAGGTCTTTTATATGCTAAGATTACTCTCAGACAGAAATTTTGGCCAAGGTTCTACTCATGCCTACCAAAATACAGAGTAGAATGATTGACTCTGTGCCTGTGATCCTTTTTATTTCGTAAAGTGGAAACTACAGATGTATCTTTTAATAGCTTTCCCCCTCTACGATGTCTTACTTTAAAGCGTTCCACAAAAAGAAAAAAAAAAAAAAAGGCTGATTAAAGAATATGTTGGATTCATTGCCTGAAAATGGAAAGACACAAATATCATCTTTTAACAGATTTAATCTTAGAATGGGATTTTTTTTAATCTGACAGTGTAAAAGTGTCTCATGCTAAAATCATTGTTTAAGCTTGAACATATTTATCTGTCTACCAGTGAATCCTTCCCACAGAAAAAAACTGGAGATTTATCTAAGAAGGTGAAATGATAGTTGCTACTCCATGTTCGAGAATCTCAAAAACTGAGGGCCCTAAAAAAAAAAATCAGGTAAAGATGGATCTGGAAAATTAGTAGAGAAAAAAATCAACTGACCGGGAGTTCGTTACCCTTTTTCTCAGAAGGCTCCCAGAGCCGCTCTCCGGTAGGTGGGTGGGTAGGGGGGGAGGGGGTCCCAAGGTGAAGGGCGGAGCCTTCTACGGCCGAATCCGGCTCCTTCCCTCTCTGCGCCCACCCAGGAGCACCGAACTTCAGCTCCACTTTGGCCACGGCACTCCTTTTGGAAAACTTAAACCAAATTTCAATGCAAATCCGAGCTCCCTGCAGGGGCGCGGGCTCCCGGGTGGGCCCCGAGACTGGGGCGCACTGGGTGTGGCCGCTGTGAGCGCCCCCGCGCGCCCAGCAGCGTCTCGGGCATCTCCAAGGGGCGCCGCGTGGCGCTCCTCCCGGAGTGCGCTGACCTCCTTCGGCCGAGCACACAGGACGTCCCCGTGGCCTTTGGCAGCCGCCGGACCCGCCCCCACTGTCCCGGCCTCCTGTCAGTCTGCACCTGCCGCGTGCCTGGCCAGGGCGACCCAGGGGACCCCAGAGAGTGGCGAGCGCACCCAGGCCCACTCAGCTTCAGCCACTGAGCCCAGCGCAGCGATTCCCAGAGCCCCTGGGCCCCGCAGAGCGGGGGTATATAGGAAGGGGGCAGAGGCGGAAGGTAGGGTGTCCCAGGGCTTGGAAGTTGGGGAGGAGACATCCTCAGCATCCTTCCTGCCTTCATCTCCTTCATTCCAGGCTTCAAGACCCCTGCCACCAGAAGCTCCTGCCAGCAACATTCCTGAACCACCTCCTGGCTCTTCTGCTGGGCAGCTCCCCAGACCTCCTCCCCCTCCTCGCCTAGGTCTGCTCAGGGAAGGTCACAAAACAGGGCAGGGGTGACTTATTGGGTCCAGGGCTTCAGCTTCCATGGCCCTCTGGCCTGAGAGCAGTGATCCCTGTGTCTCTCTGATGGCCCTGGGTGACCAGGCATGGGAGCAAGGGGGCCGGAAATTATGGGGAAAATGCAGAAATGAGACGGGGGTCACTTGGTAAGGGGCTGAGGCCCTGTGCTAAGGACCTCACCATTGTTTCTACAAATCCATTGTGAGCTCAGGGAGTGTAGGTGGCTTGTCAGTCACCCTGCCAACAGAGCTTTCCTGGTGGGAAGTGGGGGCCCTGGGGGCAACCTGGAGACCCCCTGAGACTCGGGGTCATAAGCCAAGTTTGGTTTCTGTTAGTAATACTCTTCCTAGCCTATGCACACTGGCTCCTTCTCCTCTGCTGGGCTGGGCCTAGTTGGGGGTGCCTGCTGTCCTGGGATTCTCAGGCCTGCTTTGCTTCTGGAGAACCCACAGAGTAGTCCAGAAATCCACTTCTGCAGGCCCCCAGATGTTGATGAGGTCAATTAGAATCAGGGCAAGTTGTGGTTGCAAAAAGGGTACATACACCCCACCCCGATTTTTCAGGCCAGGGTTCCCTTCCCAGTCTTCCTTGCTGGGGATTCTCAGAGCAGCAGCTTTCATTCCTCCCAGTCCTATAAGGCTGTAGCCTCCCTTGTTTCCTGACCCCGTGGAACCAGCCACCAGCAAAACTGCTCTTTGGAACCTTAGCCTGGAAAGAGGCAAGGTTGGTGATCGAAATATTTAGAAAGAGAAACTCAGAACTACCCCAGCTATGGAGCGCACGCCCAGGCCTGGCCTGGGCCGGGCTGATGGGCGTGGGGACAGATACATGAGAACTATGTATGTCCTCTCTTCTCCCTCCTCTTCCCAAAACTCCGCAGACACCCCTCCCTCATCCTCCCGTCTTGAATTAATGCCCCTTTTTAATTGTAACTAAAGATCCAAGATAAATCAGGGATGAAGGGAAGAATGTGATCTTGCAATCCCAAGTCCAAATTGTGGGGAAAGTTGTTATTTAACAAAAAAGGCAGGAAAGGATATGAATTTTGTTGAGCAGGAGAAGAGGTGCTCAGTGTCGGATCCTTTATGATCTGGGTAAGGAAGTGTGCATTCCAATCATAGCCTCTCTGTGGAAAATGTATTTTGTGAGTTCCGGGTTTTAAGGGTGATATTCTTAAAACTGTCCAACTGAGTGAGAGGCACATTCCTCTAAAGATCTGATTTCTGTGTGCTGTTGATACGCTTTTCCTATGTCAGCCTTTTTAGGAAAACTTACGGAAAACACACAAAGGCCTTTCAAAATCAGACAATAAAAATCTCTAGTGATTAAAAACACACACACACAACTACTGAGGTGGCCATATAAATACTGGCATAGTATCTCTGATTGGCCCAAAATATCACCATAAAACCACAGTTTGATGTATTTATAAATACTCAAAAGTAAAAACACTGACGCTTTCCTCAGCTCTCTAAATCTGGGTTTGTTCCCTACAATTCCTTAAAATTGTTTGCAAAAAGAAATCACATGGGGACGTATTTTAAAGAACGAGCATCAGAAAGCCCTGGTTTGCACCTGGCCTGTGTGTCCCCTGGGTCTGACTTTGCCAGTGGGTAGGCGACATTCAGGCTGGAAGCTGGGCTCATTCCCTGGACTGGTCTCCCCCATCTTGCCTTGGAAGGCCTCCTCACCACCCTCTTGAATCCCACGTCTCACATCCTATAGCCAGTGCAGGGAATGGGGAGCATGGGTTCTGCTACGCCTTCAGGCAGAGCAATCTGATTTTAGTTTTTTGTTTTCTCTCTAAAGGGTGAAGATGCTGCCACGAGGACTGAGGACTGTCCTCCTTTATGCCCTAACCATTAGGAGGCAGCCTGGGAGCCTGGAATTCTCTCACCCTGTTCCTACCCCCACTAGAGCAAAATGCCAGACAGAGCTGGGTTTGTTCAGGAGTGGGGCAGAGCAACCCTTGAACAGAATTCCCCTTTTCTGGGGCTGTTTGATGTCTGCATTTTGGAAATTTATATCAAAAAGCAGTGGTATCAGAAGGTGGATTAAGGCCCCTGCTGTTTTTCGACAAGGCAAAAACAAACATGCAGATCCAGGTTCTCCATGCTGGTCCTTGGTCCACCTCCCTTGTGACCACTGTATGCCTTGCCTTGGCCCTGGGACGTCTGTTTTAGATTGAGGATGGGCTAAGAGTGGAGACAGACTGGAGTTTTCTTATTTGCCTGCAAGCAGCAAGGGAAGCATGGACCCTGCAGTATTCATTCAGGATCCTGAGGTATAATCAGAGGGGGTTAAAGGGATAGCCTATCACTGCAGATAAAGCTTCCCAAAAAACTAACACATTGATTTCTTCAAAGGAAGGGCCAAATTATTTTTTTAAAAAAATTAAATGAAAGTGACTTTCAGTGGGGAGATACGCAAATCAGCAATCCGAAGCTGGTGAGCCTGACTTGCTATTCCCCCCTTACTGTACGTTTATTCTAGGAGAGTGAAGGCCTGAGCTTGGTTGTGTGGTGTTTTTTTTTTAACTAGCACAGAAATCGGGAAATCAGACGGCTGAAGGTTGTCACTCACTTATTTTCGTCTTCCAACCTGTCTCAGTCTTTAACTACCGACAGGCAAGAAATAGAGATACCCGTGTGAGATGCAGACTTTTAGATACATTGATTGGCCTCGCCTACCCGAGGAGCGCATTTCATAAAGCTTAGCATGTGTGAATACGGAAGTTAGTCTGAACATAAACAACAGCAGCAGCCACAGCAAAAGCCTCCAGTGTACTCGGGAACCATCCAATGTGTCATAAGAAACGTCAGTTATTTGGACAAGGAAATGTCGGGAATGCAGCGACGTAGACAGCTGCGTGCCATGTTTGTGAGGGTGGCTACTACTCACTCTCTTTCAGGAGTAAAGCTGGTGGAAGAGCAAGGGGAGGTTCAATTGAGAACGTAAGTATCTAGAATTATTACACTAAATTAAAAAAAAAAAAAAAACAGGGGTAAAGGCAGAAGGAGCATTATGGGTTCAGTAATAGATGGATCATTTGCCATTGGGGAAGGAGCCCTGGTGATGCAGAGGTTAAGAGCACGAAAGGTCAGCTGTTCGAGCCCACAAGCTGCTCTGAGGGAGAAAGACTTGGCAGTCTGCTTCTGTAAGGATTCCAGCCTTGGAAATCCTATGGGGCAGTTCTACTCTGTCCTCTAGGGTCACTACGAGTCAGAATCGACTTGATGGCAACGGGTTTGGTTACCAGTGGGATGCGTGTGTTTAAAGGGGGCCCAGAGGGTGCTGGTATTGCAGCAGATAGATCTGATATCTAGACATCATTTCCTCTCTGAGATCAGGAAGTAGGACCTCTGCTTATTTGGTGTCAATATATTCCTGTGTGAAATACATTGTAAACAATTATTACATGGTTTTTTGAACAAGGAAGCATGCAAGAAGCACGGAAATTAAAGGGAGGTGGTTTTGTGAGTGCTTGGGAGCATAAAATGGAAAAAAATAAAAAAAAGCACACACAAGGGTGTGTATTTAACTTTGTATTTTGCCACACACTGTTTTCATTTACAGCTACATCTGATTAATGAACACGTTTGACATTACTAATAAAAACAATGCTATCTGGGGCCTATGAGAAAATCAGGATGTTCAGGCTCAGCTAAAGCTTCTGCCGGTGACATCTGTTTGGGGAGGGGGAGTCTGATATTTTTTCTTCTCAGTAAAATTATCTGCCAGAGAAACAATGATGCATGAAAAAGTACTATTTAGAGTGTGCACATCTACATATGCTTTGAAAGTACTAACTGTTATCTTACGGGAACTTTCCTTCACATATATATATATAAATTTGTCATTTCAGTGGATTTGTAAAACGAATATTACAGGTTGAAAACAAATCATACCTATGCAGTTGTGCAAATTGTAAAGCCGGAAGCCAGGAGTTCACTTTCCTATGCATCTGTATTTAAGACCTTCAGACAAGAGCCATGGTTAATTAGTCTGGAGGTTATACATTTAATCACCTTCTTCTCTAACACAGTAATTTTTCTTTTAAAAGGAGACAGAACAGAGGGGTCAGGTAAGCTGTTCTCCACTAATAATACTAATCTATTTTTTAATGTACAGCTCTCACATAAATTTCACTTTGTGAACACACTGGTAAGTACACGTTGCTGGGGCTTCCAAAATGTGCGTATCCCACTGATGACGCCACTTGCGAGGGGGCTCAGTTCTGTAACTGGAATGAAAGGAATTTTAACACTATTTAGACAAAGACTCAAATCGGTGTAAAGGGAAAGCTAGATTTTCTTATACGATTTCTTTGTTTAATTTAGAGACTTATTTGTAATGAATGGCATCTATGCAGGATTTAGGATTTCTTCGTAAAAAAGCATGCATTTATTGGTCCACCACTCAAACTCCATTCCAAAGTTTTTACTAATCGTTATTTCTCAAAATGCCTTTCACCAGGGGTTATTCTAACCTTCTCTTAAAGCCAGCCACTAAAAACCCATTTTTGCCAGCACTTCTCCACTTTGCCTTCTAATGTGATGGGGCCCAAACCTGTTTAATTAGTACTAAATTGCCTTGTAGCTTCCTATCAAAATGCTTAATTGTTGCACAACTGCATTTTTCCCTCAGTACAAGCCCTATTTCTCATGCAACAGCTACAAGATGTGAGTCCTGAATGCCACTTTTATTTTGAGAATGTGTTTGCCTAAATTTTTTTCATCTGATACTGAGCTTTTTACAAGTGATTTCTTCATTTCTGTTTCTTCAGGGGGAGACTACGCATCTCCTAGCTGTGATCAGAGGGGGGAAAACATCTCTGAAGCAGAGGACAGCTAACTTCCAGCACACAGACGTAGGTTTACAATTAAGACTTCGGTTAAGGAAAATTAAGTGTGGAGTCAGGAGCCATTATCCGAACTGGCACAGAAAGGAAGGTCGGCCTGTGGAGGGTATGTACACTGTCTTCGGGTTCTGTGAAAAAGCGGAAGGAAGACAAGATGATAAACTGGCCAGAACTCATCAGCACCAAGCACAACCTGTTTTCTTCAAAATAAGGCCTTCGTTTAGCGTTGCAAAATTATCTTTATTTTTTTTTTTAAAAAAAGCCAAAAAAAAAAAAAAAAAGAAAATCATCACGTTTGGCTATATTTTCAAGACAGTGCTGGCTTTGTCTCACATTCCTATTAGCATTCTAGGGGAAGCTGACTAACTGTAAACTGCAGGAATTTGTAACATTAGTTGCATGGATTTGTGTCATTTTAAAATAGGTCAATGCTTGGAAGTCTTGTTAGTGAAGGCAACTCAAGGCTTTCCCAATGATCTAGTTAGCCCCCATGCACAGCCAATTTTGGGGTAAATATCAATAAATCAAAGCACAGAATATATTCCACAAAGGCATTATTTTTCTACTTATATATCTGGGGCTGAAGCACTCTGAAATCGTTACCAGCTTGTCTCTAAGTACAGAAGCCCTCCACTAAATGTTCACAGAGATATACGATTTGCTAACACAGTTACAACCAGATATGTACTTGGAGTTATATCTAAGCGAGGGTGGATTTTCTTTTTCCTATTTAAGACAAGTGACCTACAAAGTTTTTTAAAAAAAAAAAAACACACAACTTTGATTTGTCCAAAGTGTGTATGTTATACCTCGTCAGGCCTTGGTAACAAGAAAATCACAGTGTGTAAAGGAAGAAGGCAAAATAATCGATTGTAGCCAAAAAGGCAAAAATTGTTTATCTGTACCATTAAATGCGTATTTGCCCCAGCCAGCTCTGATGTGCTTGCTGTATTTCACTCTCTCATGTCTATCTAGATGGGCGTGCTTCTGTAGCAGAAGCTTAGGGCGATATCGAGAAGGCCCAGTTCCTCTGTTTATTTCACCAGAGGGCAATGACGGTTCAACTCATTTGGAAACCGAAAACTTTGGGGGGAAAAAAATTGAGAGGTCCTAATTTACAACTATATTAAATATTGCTAATTACTAAAAAAGGCCAGCCTCCCCACCTCACAAAACAGCCTAAGCTTCACCCTGAATTAGTTCCTCCCTTTTCCTCCTGGAGAGAAAGGATGCAGTTTACACTTGGAATGCGATTGTTGGACCCAGTTAAACTGTACGCTAAGAAACTGAGTACAGAATCAAAAAAAAAAAAAAAATGCAGTTTATTATTGTAGATTATTCTTTCTCTTGATATAACCAGAATTGAAAATGAAAGAAAAGCACATAGGAACATCACGCGTGGTTAGTTAGTAACTCAAGATATAAAACAATTTTGCACAGCAAAATATGTAAAAGAAAAGTAACTGACAAGATTTTTTTATATTTATTGTGGTAAGATTTACTTTTCATTTTTTTTTTTTTTGTAAAGACAGGATGTCAGTCCCTGAAAATAACATTTACTGATTATTGCCTTTAAAACTGTGGATTTTTTTTTTAAGTTACAGAAAATCCAGTTCTGCACCACAATACAACTGTAAAAAAATCTGCATCATCTTAAAACTGTGCAGTAATGCCATTTTTATAACTGCATAAATTTTATTAGCGTTCTAAACAGTTTTGCCATTTTTTTGTATTATATGCTTGCAGGTTATATCTTAGTGCAATTCAGTCCCAAATACTTTAATTTTGAAAAAAAAAAACATACATTTTGAATGTAAAATACCCCTACAGATATAAACAGGGTGATTCCCCTTTTAATACTTTGGTTTTCAATACAGTCAGTGATATAGCAAAGACTACACATACCCAACTTATATTTAAGTTGCAAGCACATGCTGTATAAGCTACTTTTTTTTAAACAGTCCCCTTGCAAACTCTACCCCCCTTAACATCACAACAGTAAACAATTGAGTGCACCAATCTTTTAAAAAATCTACAGCTAAACAGACCTAACTCTTCCAAATTTATCTATAACATTCCTTTATCTGTAGCATACATTTTAACTGAGCTAACAGATTATTAAAAACTAGAATTAAATTATATACTAGAAACCCATAGCATTCCGTATTTGACAATGACCAAAAGCAAAAAAAAAAAAAAATTAATAATAATAATAAAACAAACCAAAAATAACGGGGTGGATTTTCTTTTTAAAAATAAATTTTAGACTGCTTTAGGCAACAGCACAATTTTAGTCCCCAAAGTAGGGTGTCATTCTTATTAAAAAGAAAACATTAAGAGTTCTTTGATTTCGCCATGTTAAATGTTTAACCCATTCTGGCATCTTTGACAGGGGATGCCTCAGTGCATTTACAATGGGAGGCTGAACTTCTGAGTAGCTCAAAGCAGTTTTGGAGCAGATGCAAACTTTCATGGGAGGAAGGCTCTAGGGTTGCACTTTTTTGTTCTGAACTCAAAAAAGTCATGAGGCAATAAAACAAAAGTATGAATACCATGCCATAAGTCTTTGAACATCCATTTCCAAGCCAAAAGGAAAAAAAAACAAAGAAAAAAATAATTATACCATACATGGCCAGCATGCAGGCTTTTTTTTTTTATTAATATAATGTCTCTTTACCATAAAGTCTTTGAAACAGTTTAGTTCATTGTTGCTAAGACAAAGTAGCAAGCATAATAATGCATGAGATGAGAATGAGTTTTTTTGTTTTTTTTTTTAAATGACAGACTAAACTCTCAGATTTGGCATCCTAAGGCCAAAACTCACAAGTCACACCCAGAAGGTTGATGCAAGCTTGATTGTGGCAGGTTCATGAGGATATTTTTTTCTTTCTATTTTAGCATAACAATGCTAAAAAAAAAAAACCCGATGGAACTCAGCACGCTGCAAGTCTATATAACGTTTCACATTTTTTTTTTCCTTTGCAAGCTCAATCTCACATGAAGAACTCAGGAGGAGAAAAAAAAAAAAAAAAAACCTTTGCTTTTTATTTTCCTTTTATCTAGGAGGAGATGGAGGGGGAGGAGGTGTGGGTGGTGAAGGATGGGAAAAAGGGGCAACACAGCAAGCTCCAAAAAATAAAATAAAAAAAAAATCCAAACAGAATAACACACATACAGAAAATGAACACCAGTTCACGAACTGAAAAAGAAAAAATATAGGTGAATGATGCAGGCTTCAAAGGTGAGTAATGTTTCACACGAAGAACTCTGCTGAGATCTTTGAACATTGTGCAAGTCCGGGGGAGGGGGTGTAAAAAAAATCAAGCTAGCAAATTATGGAGAATTTCAGTGTGGCAATCCATGAGCCAGACACCCACTCCCTCCCCAACTCAAAACAGCCACCACCACAAACTCAGGATAGGGTCGCGTGCGTGTGTGTGCGTGTGCGTGCGTGGGTGTGCGTGTGTATGTGTGTAGGGGGCAAAGGGGGGGCAAATTCAGTAGGGGAGGGGGCGAGGTGGTGGCGAGCGTGGCTCTGGAAATAGCAAGCCCACACCCGAGTCGGACCCCCACGGAGCACTTATCAATGTGGCTAGCTGGGATCGCGTGTCAGACTCACATGAAAAACTCGGGAGAGGACGGGTTGTCGCTGCTGGAGCCGTTTTCTCGGAAGCCGCTGCTCACCAACTTCTCGTATTTCTCCTTGTACGCGTCCCTCTCGCGCATCAGCCTGGAGATCTCCTGCTTGAGGTGGTCGACCTGCTGCAGCAGCTGGTTCTTCTCGGACTCCAGGACGTGTCTCTGCTGCACCCTCTTGAAGCGGCAGGACTGGGCATAGCCGCGGTTTTTCAGGGTCCGCCTCTTCTGCTTCAGCCGGATCACCTCCTCCTTGCTGACCCCGCGCAGCTGCCGGTTCAGCTCGCGCACCGACATGGTCACCAGCTGCTCGTCGGAGAAGCGGTCGTCGAAG